AATCTTTCTTTTTTATCATCTTGTTAACTCTGGGTTTATGTGTACATAACATTGGAGGAGTACATGGCCTCCTCTTTATGTCCTTGGTCCCTTTTGAAGTTCTATCATTTCGCCTAGTGGTTTTTTAAGTTTACTATCTTTGGTAGAACAAGTGTGGTAGGGTCGTCCAAATGCTCAAGCACTTCCTAGCCGTGTTTTTTTTAGAAGGAATGAGTATTATAGGGTGCCTGCGACTGTTGTCAGCTTATGGATTCCATCTATGGATATGAGATGATAAACAAGGAAAGGTTTTTCTGGAGTCACAGTCATCAATAGGTTTGTTGCCATCTTTCCCCAGTTCTTACCTCATAAGGACGAGTGGAGTTGGGACCCTCTCTCCCAACTCTATTAAAAAGGATATGCTAAGGGCATACTAGCAGCTTTGGCCTTCGATATTCAAGACAAGAATGGATCTGGTTTGTGTGGGGCTGGGGCTGCTTCAGTCCTCTATCACCCACATCTCCATTCTGTGGAGTGACAGATAAAGGTGCTTCATGGTGCAACCACTTTGTTCTTACTTGTTACTTCAAAAACACGGTGGTTAGGGGTGTGGGCATAGTTTCAAAAAGCGCTATGTGGGTCCTAGGTGGCCTGGGGGGTCCAGGCTGCCCAGCGCCTAGGCGGGCACCCAGAACCTGGGTGGCCCAGTTGAATCCAAATAAGGATTCTGGCATTCTGCAGTTAGGTCAGTATCAGTTATATGTATTGCAGTACATAATTCAAATTATACTGCATATTATTTAGCATATAGCACACACTCTATAAGCATAACCATAATCCATAAGTCGGTTCATACTCTATATCCAATTAAAACTTAAAATTTTTCAACCAACCAAATTATCAAACCAAGTTATCAAATAGTATCACACCAGTACTGCAGTACACCACCATGAGGAAGAAAACAAAACTGAATTATGAAACTAATACTTGAAGACTCAAAAGAATCTTTAATAGTTCAATAATCAATACACAGTACTTCAATCAAAGTTCAAACTTCAAAGTTTAATAATTATTCAACAATCAACATTCATCAATCATCATTCATTCATCATCAGAAAATCTTGGGTCAGCTGCATTGACATCATATTCATCAGAGTCGACGGAGTCGTCACTCTTCTCGACATATTGGTTGTCCCTGTCCTCCTCCGTCTCTTCTGAATTAGCCTCTTATTCCTTCGGGATCACCACTCTTATTAGATCCCGAAGAAGACATTTAAAAAATAATGCAAATTACTAAAGCAATTAAAAAAATCACTTACTCTGAGTTTGATTGCTCAATCTTCAAACTTCTACCTCAAAGATGCTTCTAAATACTCAAAATCTTCTAAATCTAATAACTTTGCAAAACATCAAAAAGTAAATATAATACCAACGGGGTGATGTTTTGATCAATTTTTGTTAACTTTGAGTAACCCTTCGATCCTAAATTCACCACAATCTAGTTTTTTTGGGGCTTTCTCTCTTTAAATTTGGCTCCAACAAGTTTTACGTTTCAAATGAACCTAAAACCCTAATTTTTGGCCATTGAAAACAAAAAAAAATGATGAAAAATGCTTTCACCAAATGGTTTTTCCGCCCCTGGGCGGCCGCTCAGGGCTGGGCGCCCACCTAGGCGGGTTTTGTATCGCCTAGGTGGCCGCCCAGGGATCGACTGCCCAAATTGGCCGCCTAGGCCTGGGCGATGCGCCCAGGCCTTCTAGACCCCGCCTAAGCGGCCGCCTAGGCGCTGGGCGGTCCGCTTTTTGAATCACTGGGTGTGGGAGTATCTATTTGCCATGCTCCTATCATGAGGTAAATGTGAAGAACTGGAGACACTTGGAGAGTCATTCCATAACCAACTAAACATAAATAGAGTGAGTCGTCTGATATGCATCTAACTTGTCTATGACATACCCAATTGTTAATAATGTTCAGATCGTTCAGTATAACTCTAGTCAACAGCGATATGTGCAAATGGCCATGTTGATCGCTTCATAGAAACATAGTTTTATAAGAAGATGGTGATGAGAGAGCTATTTCAAGAAACGAAGGTCTAGATTGGTAATTGGACGAGAATTACCAACTCTTTACAAATTAAAAAGAAAGAAGATGGAAGAGACTGGCAAACTGTATTTGGGTTCTGGTATAAGGATCTGTTTGAACTTGTGGAAGAGGCCTTGAGGATCACCATTATCCATTGCTAATGGTGATGGGTATCACCTTTAGGTGGAGTAACAATATTGGGAGGCTTCCTAGAAATGTGTTTGTGATTGGTAATTGTGAAAGGCCTCATTTTTGGGAGGCTGAACAGTGGCTTTGAAGGTGAGTACTAGAATGTCTGGAGCTTGGAGGTTGAAAATAAGTTCTTCCTTAACTAGGGACTTGCTCATCAGTTTTTACGCTGAGGGATTTCGTCACCTACGTAACCCAGAGGCTCATTTTTTCTGCCTCATCAAGTGTTTGCAAGTGTCGGCACTTTGAGATCTGGTATTTAGAGCACAAGGCTGGGGTTTGAACCCAAGAAATGTTGTGCCAAATTCTAGTTGTCTACTGCCGCATGGTCCCGATTGCTCGTAGTAGAGGAGTCCTGATTGCCAGGTTCAACTCTTTTGTCTATCAAATCCAACAGTATTTGGTTCACCACTCTCTCTACAATCACAGAAACTGACTATCCATGTTTGACATCTTTCTCTTGCTAAGTGGCCTTTCTGAAACCCCCTTCCTCTCTCCAAACTTGCTAACCCTTAGACTCCGAAACTTTCTGAAACAACTTCTAGTCACCACAATCTCCACAATAAAGTTCTTCCATCCTCAGAGAATGCCACTTTATGGAGGCTGCTCTTCTCTTATTGACACCAAAAAGTCTAACGAATAAGAAAAAATATTTGAGAGCTCTTCTCTGTTTGACACCAGAAAGTGTAAGTCTCTCAAATATTTTAGCGAGAGAGAGAGAGAGAGAGAGAGAGAGAGAGAGAGAGAGAGAGAGAGAGAGAGAGAGAGAGAGAGAGAGAGAGAGACGAGACGACGTACGTACGTACGTACGTACGTACGTACGTACGTACGTACGTACGTACGTACGTACGTACGTACGTACGTACGTACGTACGGTACGTACGGTACGGTACGTACGTACGTACGTACGTACGTACGTACGTAC